GATTTTCATGATTCTTTTTTTGATGGAAAGAGGGTACCTCCATAGTGGTCCCATTTAATTTTGAAGAAAATCACCTCTCCTCCCTCTCTAAGGGTGGCTGTTCAATCATGAAGATTCATTTTTATAAATAGCGCCTAAATTTTATTACAAGGAGCAATTGTTTTAATGGTTAATTTGCTATTCTCCAATTTGAGTAGTGAGAATCGATTTTTAATATCTCCTGTGTCAAGTCCTACTAACGAACTACGGGATGAATCCGGGTGTACTCACTTTCCGGTAACCGATTTCAACAAAACTTGGTAATTATATGTAATTTCACGTACTTTTGAGGTCGGTTTGTTTATGTAATATAAATCCGTTGGTATATTTTATTTTTTTATTAATGTTGACATTAAATTGACAATGATAACTAATTGCGTTTATTAAATTACTTTAATTCGTCGAAATACTAAATTAATTTCAATAATCATTTAATCACACAAAATTATAAGTACAAGCAAGAATAAAAATTGATGAGGTGCAAATTCAGAACGCATCCGAATATAAACTTTTTCTTTTGATTAAAAACAACTTATTTGCTATAGTTCAACTGTTTTTCTTTCAACTACAAAATTCTTATAATTATTAATACAAAGATCGAACACTCAGAAAAAACACTCAGAAAAAATTCCTTCGATCCGGTCGGATTCGAACCGACGTCTTCTAGTATACCGTGCCAGAAGCTATACCAACTAAGCAACGGAACGAACCAACGGACCTCACGAATTTTTCTATGTGCTTGCGTCGTGTCTTTGTACTTGGTCTTTCAACGACTTTTTAGTCGTAGCGCCATCTATGAGAAATCTATTACAGATTTATAACCCAGTTAGTACCTTTACAGCTACCTGTCCTGGCGAGATATGTCGCTATTCACTGTATTAATTAAATTTTTATTGAATTGATATTCAATTATTTTTTGTGAAATTACTCCACTAGTTTGTTATAATTATTAATACCAAGATCGAACACTCAGAAAAAAATCCTTCGATCCGGTCGGATTCGAACCGACGTCTTCTTGCATACCGTGCCACGGTATGCAAAATTCTTCTCTTTAGTGAGGTGAAAAGTTGTGTGTTTCGCTCGGCAGCAAAGTTGTTTTGATGCCTTGAAACGCTCACTACGCTCAGGAACCTATTTTTGAACCACTCGCTTCGCTCGGTTCAATCTTAGCTTCCTTCGCTTGCTCATGTTTCAATACAAACACTCGCGTCAAACAGCGACTTTGCAGCCTTGCATAACAAATAACTATTATTAAAAACTGCATATTTACAATAGAATAGATAAATTATAATTTTAAGGATCAAATAATGTTACCCCTTTATTAAAGATAATATTTTCTATTACAAAGGCGTCTCACCCGCAGTCGCCCGAACACCGTGGCAACCGCCAGAGTGCCGTCTCTTCCTCTTCGAACGCGCCCAGAACTCAACTACCTCACACCCACTCGGCCACTCAACAGACCCAACAGACTCAACAGACCCAACAAATTCAACTAAGCCAACAGACCCAGATACAAGCGGAAAAGGAACCGGTGCCACAGCCACCAAAATCCCCAACCGAAGTAAGTGTAATTCATTTATTTCTTTGTCATTTCACAGGTTATAAAGATGCTTTTCCACCGGCGAGACGAGGATTGAAATTTGTATGGCAAACTTTCAAGCCTCTCCGCACCGCATTTTCGATGGGAATGGTCTGGATTGACGAGGACGTGCAAGACGAGAATTGGAGTGTAATTTCGTCTCACTTTGCCGGTGGAAAAGCACCTTAAGGTGAAACGAGCGAGAATTGAAATCTCGCCGGCCTATTTCCACCAAATAAATTTAAATTTCAATCCTTGTCTCATCTCGCCGGTTGAAAATTTCGTTCTCGAGTTCGCCACTAGATGGCAAACTTACAAAAAAAATCTAATTATTTTAAAGTATTTTCACTTTATTTTTATTGAATACAATGTTTTTACTACAATGATATAGATATATTTTTCGTGAAAATACTTCACTAGTTCGTTATTAACATTTATACAAAGATCCAACAAACACAAAGAATCTTTAGATCCCACTGGACTCAAACCAGCGTGAGTCGCCTCAACGTGGCTACCGCTCCATCAACTGAGCTAAAGATCGAGGCAGTAAATCTTTCGAATTTCTTTATGTGCTTTCTTTGGATCTTTATATTGTGTTTTTTCACTTTGACATATATACATACTCTGTATAATTGATGTCTTACGTGACTGGACTTTCTTGTCTACAAACACACGCACTGAAAATGTTCGTCTCTCCCTCAGCCGGCGGCGAGGCCTCCACCCTCAAAGGCCAGGACCTGCCTGCACATCCCCGGCATCGACGCCTACCCCCGGCTGCAGCCTGTGCTGCCGCGCTGCTGGACGCTGCCTGCTATTGGTGAGTCGAACCAGCTCGCTATTCATGTATTAACGCTTCTTCTGGTTACAGTTTCTATCTCATTCTTTAGTGATTTAGATTTTTATCATTATTATTAACTCATGCACCTGGGTATAATAAGGCCACCTTACATCTGCAGTATTTTTTATAATAATATGTTTTTACAAATAGAAAGTTACATTACTCGCATTAGGTTAAACCTGTCATGATATTTTAAGTGTTTTTAAAAATAAATAAAATGAAAAAAAGGAATTTGAAATGTTCAAATCTTGGGACATGTAGTGGATACATAAATAAGAAACTTTTAGTGCCCTGTAATGAAACGTGGATGAAGAAACACTTGGAAATATTGAAAATAATTATTATAACACTGAATTATATCAATATATTTAAAGTACACAATTTCTATCTCAAAACTCGTTTCTAACGTTACAATGGTTGCTTATTATAACACGTGACGGGACGAACTAGTTAATAAGTATTAAAATAAGTAACAACAGTTGCAGCGCCACTCAGAGCTTTAAATCGCAAAGATCTTATGGGCACTGCCATTGCGCCCGTCACTCTGAGACATAAGTTGACAAGTCGCATTTGCCTTACTATCGAAAAACGAAGAAAACGAGATTTTTACCCCAAATTATGATTCGAGACAAATTTTTATCTGCCGCCAAAAAATGCTTGTATTGCAGCCATATTGAAAAAATGGCAAAAAATTAATTTACACATCTCTAGCCGGGGCTGGTAGCTGTAAAGGTATCTGACTGGGTGATGAAATATCATAGATTTGTTATGGATGACGCTACGGCTAAAAAAGACTTTGAAAAACCGAATACAAAGATACGACACAAGCACATAGAAAAATTTGTTCGAGTTGTATTATCTATGGAAGAATAGGTAGCTATAATCTCTTGACAAAAAAAAACAAAAGGCCCGCCATTTGCAAATTCCAAAATTGTTGTGTTGTAAATCACATATTTCCATAAAATTGTATTTATTTCCTCGCAAATGGGATGAAAAACGTACGTATCACGGACGGTAAGAAAATAGAAAACTCCAGTTACTGAAGCCCTCAGTCGTCGGCTTCGGGCTTCTATTATTGTTTCTTATTTACCGTCATTAACACAATCTAAAACATGTTCCCCTAAATAATCTACTATAATCCAAATCTAATGTCGCTTGCGCTCTTTCTACAAAACACCGACGGTATGATTGTGATTTTTTTCCTAGCGGTTATTTTTATTATTTATTTAATTAATGGGCCTTTAGCCTTCTTATAGGCCTCATAAGAAGGCTCAAGGTCAGTCAATGGAGAGAGTGATGCTCGGTATTTCCCTACGCGATAGTATTAGAAGAACTAGGGTAACCGACATAGCTTGAGGAATTGCTCAGCTGAAGAACCAATAGGAGAACCGATGGCCGTTGGGGCGGAAAGGTTCTTCAATGGCGGCCGCGCACCAGACGACACTCGGTGGGTAGGCCCCCACCAGATGGACCGACGATCTGGTAAAGGTCGCGGGAAGCCAATGGATGCGGGCAGCGCAGGGCCGGTCGTCGTGGAGATCGTTGGAGGAAGCCTGTGCCCAGCAGTGGGCGTCGTATGGCTGAATGATGATGATGATTTAATTAGTTGGTTAATGCCTAAGGAACCGTTTGAAATTGCTTTTCCCCCAACCAGGTTCCCACGTCCGCTCCCTCCGCCCCCCGCTCCTGCAACAAGCGTCGTTCGACGGCGCCGACGGCAGCGCTCTGCGGTACCGCGTCGACGTGATGAGAGGCGTCGCGGCGAGGCATGAGACCTCGCCCACGCCGGGGCCGCAGAGAGCTAACAGTTTGCCTGTAAGTTGTATCCAGACAGGTTATAAAACGTTTTGGAAAAATAATTACTAACTTATCGAGTTCTTAGGTTTTCGCGATTGTTACACATAGGAAATGAAACTATTTTTCCGGATTTAAATCGCGTATATTTGTTCTTTCAAACAAACCGACGTTTCGTGCCCTTTACAGGTCCCATGATCACGTACAGTCTTCAACCAGTTATGTCTAATATTGATGCAAACCGCCCTATTTTTTCACTATAGTTACCTACAATAGTTATTAATTAAATACCTTATTTTTAATTTTACAAAGAAAACGTATAATTTACGCTTTATTAAGTTTTGCAAATTATTTTATTGAATGAATTTTTATTAAGTTCAATTTATTATTAATTAATAATAGAAATTAGAATAAACTAAAACGTATTAATTAGTACTGCAGTCTTGGGTCTGTTTGGGATTTTTCATTAGAGGAAATACTGGATCCCAAACTGGTGGTACGGATAAACCATCTTCCCTGTTGAAATTAGGATGTTTTTTAATTTCAATGGCCTCTCGCAGCATTCTGGGTACATAACGGACTTCTTTTGCAAGGACCTGGGGTTTGTCAAACTTCATTGAATGTGTAGGTTTATCCATGACATGCTCGCAGACTGCAGACTTGTTGACGCGACGGTGTTTGACATCAGCTATATGTTCTTTGACGCGGGTACAAATACTTCGCTTTGTTTGTCCAATATAAGAATCAGTCAACCGTGACCATGGGACCTGTAAAGGGCCCGAAACGTCGGTTTGTTTGAAAAAACAAATATACGCGATTTAAATCCGGAAAAATAGTTCCATTTCCTATAATTACTAACTTGTTTTGTAAAGAAGGATGGCGAAAGCTGACCTAAAATCAACGAGGAGTCGTTCATGGACTTGCTAGTATAATTTTACGTTTTAATTGATGCTCAATACATTTTTGTGTATTTTTAAAAGTCGGGAATAAAGAAATTGTAAAACAACGTGTTTTAGAATGGATGCAAGAGCATAACGCAATTAATTCAGTTCGACTATAGATTAGGTAACGTTCTTTTTCTTTGTTTGTTTGTTTTCGTTTACCTACCTAAAGTATTGATTATTTTATAGTACACACATAAAACATTAAAGCTATAAAATACCTAATAAAATAATCGATTAAACAATAATGACGTAAAGTAAAAAATAAAACACGATATGAAAGTTGGCAAAGGAACGTTTTGACAACAGGCCTCTTGCCAATATCAATGTCACTTTGAGATTGTGATCATTTGTGGCAGAAATCTGCTACCTTCCTACGAGATGTAAAGACAGAAAGTTGAAGACAACGTGTCCGCAGAGCCTGTCGAGTTCGAGCGCCAGCGCGGGCAAGGCGCCCCCCTCGGCCCCCTCGGCCCCCCAGGCCCCCGCCACCCCCGCACCCCCCTCGTGCGCCACGGTCTCCAGCCGGCTGGAGATCCGCGTGCGGGCACCCTCGGCCGCAGAACCCGGCCATTCCGGCATCGATCAAGGTACGTGTCCTGTGACAACGCAAGTAGGGTCATTTCATACAGACGTACTGGCCTCCTTACTCAACTGGCAATTATCAACCCTCGAATACCTTAGAATAGGATTCCTTCGTTTTTGGGCCCAATTGTATACAAAAGTTAAAAATTTCGAAAATTATATTTTTTATTTTAATAGTTGCTGAAAAAAGTGATTCTACAATTGTAAGAATAAACGATACTGCTTCGACAAAACGTGCATTGTCGTAATTTGACAGCTGTCATTGTAGCTAATAATCGGATTCGATCGAAAGAATGTCCGTAAAGAATAGCCAAAAGTCAGTGATGAATATATCAAAAACACAATAGTAATCCCCAGAGAATGGAATCAAACGGAACACAGGAATAAAAAATGTCTATGACGCAGTGGCGAGGCGTCCATATAACTCGATTCCCACCGGCTTGCCTAAAATTTCCCGCGTATCTATTACCAGTTGCACCGCGGTTACCCCACCACTTAAAAAACATTTATCTTGTCCCGGTGCATGTCGACCAATCAGCACGAGGTACTATTTCTATTTCATTCATGAAATCTAGGCGCTCCCATCAAAATGTACGCACACATTCGCAAAAATTCGTTTTATAAAATATAAGAAATGGCGGCCGATAAGTCGCAATAATTCGAGTTATTGTCGTATAGCGTACGTTTAAATTTAAACCTTATTCCAACACACTATAGTTTAATTTGGTTTAATGTCAGAATCGCCAATGCTATGACGTTGACGTGTCGACCTTGTCAATAAGTGACATTTACATACAGAAAAACACTCAGAAAAAATTCCTTCGATCCGGTCGGATTCGAACCGACGTCTTCTTGCATACCGTGCCAGACGCTATACCAACTAAGCCACGGAACGAACCAACGGACCTCACGAATTTCTCTATGTGCTTGCGTCGTGTCTTTGTATCAGGACTGGTAGCTGTAAAGATACTAACTGGGTGATAAATCTGTAATAGATTTCTCATAGATGGCGCTACGACTAAAAAGTCGTTGAAAGACCAAGTACAGGACTGGTAGCTGTAAAGATACTAACTGGGTGATAAATCTGTAATAGATTTCTCATAGATGGCGCTACGACTAAAAAGTCGTTGAAAGACCAAGTACAAAGACACGACGCAAGCACATAGAGAAATTCGTGAGGTCCGTTGGTTCGTTCCGTGGCTTAGTTGGTATAGCGTCTGGCACGGTATGCAAGAAGACGTCAGTTCGAATCCGACCGGATCGAAGGAATTTTTTCTGAGTGTTCGATCTTTGTATTAATAATTATAACAAACTAGTGGAGTAATTTCACAAAAATAATTGAATATCAATTCAATAAAAATTTAATTGACATTTACATAGTTTAACAACTTGGAACGTAGTCTTTTAGCCAACCTTATTAGATATTGTAATAATATAGTAATAGCTTGGTAGTTAATAAATTATAAAAGAAGTAGTATTTTTCAAATAACCCCGATAGCTGGATACATAGACATTGCCATGGAGAATTATTGTGTTGCCAGTCATTTATATGTTCGGACGATAATTTTGAGTGGTACAAGTGATTAATAAATTATATTTTTCTTTTTATATAATTTTTTATTCAAAAATATGTAATAGTACCTGACGTGCATCTTTGGGCCCAAGTTGTATGGAAGAAAAAATGGATCCTTTGGCTTTAACCGCACATAACATCCCTTCTGTTTTTGTTGTTTCTATTGGGAGAGACCACAGAACAATAAATACAGTAGAAGCGGTTAGTTAGCGTCTGACGCGTGCCAACTATAGGTCTCGAAAGACCTATATGAGCTCAGTCCGCCATTTTCGCTTTGTACGGTATGGTTGGGTCATTCTTTCGTGCAAATTCTTTAAAATCCTAAAAAAATGCCCTATTGTTCTGTTTTGGAATGTAAAAACGATAGCCACTACAAAAATATTACCCGTGATGAGATTTCATATCATCGGAAAATCTTATGTTAATAATTCGACCCCTCCTACGTAAAGTATCGTATGTCGAAATTGCCAAGTTTACAGGGGAGCATTTTAAACTTCTGAATTCACTGAATTAAGCATAATACGTGACTTCAGCATTTCTCAGTTTTATTCGGCAAAGCTGTTACTCGCATAGAGTATTATAAAATTCTAGATATCGGTTAGATGATCACTCTATGTGAGTAACGAATGAATTCAGAATTTTAAAACGCTCCCCCGTAAACTTGGCAATTTCGACATACGATCCTTTACGTAGGAGTGGTCGAATTATCAATTTTCTGTTTATCGAAATAATTTTATTGTTACAAGAAACGAAAGTAAGGCTCATACCCCTGCACTGTGGTCACTTCTTGTTTGGAGAACAAAATTAATAACTCGTCGTCGTCGTTCAGCAATGTACTGCTAGATGGCAGCACATTTATTGAAATTTCAATATAATATCAAAACGTAACTTGCAATAATAGGTATTGATGGTATTGAACTTTGAACGATACGCCAACAGGATAAAGTTTAAATTATATTAACGATCCAGAATTTGTTTCTTTTTAAATTTGAAACTACGACCAATCAATATCAAGATTTTGTCGTGTTTCAAATTAAGAGTGTGTGAGTTTTGGCGACATCGGTACTCATAGTAATCGAGGCTTAAAGCATGTCTATTGATTTTTTCTTCCGTGAGAGAGACAAAGACACGCATTTGCTACGTTCGTAACGCCAGCTCAACAATGGCAAGAATAAACTAACCCGAGTGTGGTGACAATATCCTTCATCTTGATTGTTACAGTTAAAATCTCCCACTCGGTGGTGAGTGGCGGTGAGCCAATAAGAAACCACGAAGACGCGTCTATTTATTACGACGCGACCGAGCACCAAAGGGACAAACGGTAAGTGCTGTTGTAATTTATTTATTTATTGGTTAACAACAGCTTAACATAGTTAACATTTACATATATTATTAAAATAATTCAAGACTAGTATGTGAGCAAATTACAGCCGAACACATCATTGTTAGAATCACTTAAAAATAACATAATTAAAATAATAAACTATTTATACATTATTCTATTATAAATATACATTTAATTCCTATTGTTTGCATCGGATTAATTTTAAATTAATTTCAAATGTACATAAAAAACAAAATTAAAATGTCCAAAAAAAAAACAGAAGATAATAAAAATCGGTTCTCACTACTCAAAGTATATTGAGAGAGAAAAACGCCTTGAATTGGAGAATAGCAAAACCAACCATTAAAATAATTGCTCCTTAAGTAAAATTTAGGCGCTATTTATAAGAATGAATGTTCATGCGTGATCAGCCACCCTTAGGTATATGACGATTTTCTTCAAAATGAAATGGGACCAGTATGGAGGTACCCTCTTTCCAACAAAAAAAGAATCATGAAAATCGGTTCACAAATACCGGAGTTATCGCGTAACATACATACAAAAAAAACATACAGTCAAATTGAGAACCTCCTCCTTTTTTTTTGAAGTCGGTTAAAAATAGTTATCTACTTATAAACGAAATTATAAATTTGTTGGTTCCATTCAGTAAGTTCCTGAACTTGCAAATGGTATTTTCTTAATGGCATCATTTTTGAGTTACGACAGTATTTGATTTCATGTCCAATGTAATCGAAATTCCAGGTCCTTAACACGCAGTAACGAGAAAAGCCAAAGTCCAGCTGTTGAACGAACACGGTTGGACACTATACCTGATAGGTAAAATATGTTTTTTTTACTTATAACTTGTCTACAATTGGGTCTTGTCAATTTGTCTTATGTGAGTGAACGTCATAGATCATCTAAGATACCTAGGATTTTATAATACTCTATCTGAGTACGAGCTTTGTCGAATAAAACTAAGAAATGCTAAAATTACGTGTTGTGCTTATTTCTGTGAACTTTAAAACACTTCCCTATAAACTTGGCAATTTCGACTTACGCTTATAGCAGGGGTCGATTTATTAAGTCTACATTCTAGATTAAGCCCATAAATTGCATCTCAAACATGTTCCACTGAATGAAAACTTGTAACATCGAATAATAAAAAAAGTTCTCAAAGATTCTAAAAATAATGGTATTTGACGTCACATGTTCCGGGCTTCACCTAAATCTGACGTAATAATTACATAGTAGGCTGCGGTGAAGAAGATTCTAAAATCTTTCACTAGACGTCACTAGCGGCTCAGAATTCCGAAATATACAGTGCAAAGATCTTTAACAAGAACACATAGGAGAATTTCGACAACTCGATAACTTAACTCGTAGCTCAGTTGGTAAGAGCAGATACTACGGTGCAGTATGGTCATGGGTTCAAGTCCCATCGGGCCGGAAAACATTTTCTATGTTCGATCTTTGTATTATGTAGTATTATTCTGTATTTCACAAAAAAATCTCAATAATATATTGAATTTTATTTATAATGAATATTGGTATTTGTTTTAGAAGCAGTCCAGTAAACAAACGTGAGTCTCCGAGCGGCGCTGGCGACGGTTCTCAAAGTTTAAAAGACGTAAGTGCGAAGCCTATATGAGCTGCAATGGAACTGCGAAATAACGCATACAGTTAATGGTAATCATTCTTGAAAAGCAGCGGTATTTTTTTTACCACGACGTTCGCATTCAAAGTGTATATAAATCTCTATTTGATAAAGATTCCGTTTTACGCATCAAGTAGTTGGGGTAATTTATTTTCATCTTTATCATTTCAGTTTCTTTTATATACTGCAATTGGACGTAGTTAAACAAAAATGATCCAATCCACAAAATTATCAAAAAACGTTTAGTTTATTTCTTTCGACATTACAAATTTCACACACAAATACAATTACATCTCATTTTAGAAAAATCTCGTCAGTTTACAAAAAATAAAGAAATAATAATAATAATAGTGTACATATACAAGTAAACATAATTAATAAATAAATAAATGAATTAAACTAACAATTTCAAGTGTATACAGGAAAATGTCAATGAGTTATAAATATGTATATATTAAACGGTTTCTAAAGTCTAACCTTGTACAGGTCACGTACAAGATTTAGACGCTGAGTTTGCGCCCTACTTTACGTGAACCGACTGATTCACTTTTTATTATAATTTAGTTGATTTAATAACTCTGTCGCAATCTGTCACATAAGCATCCATATAATAACTTGTATTTAAACAGAAATAAACTTTACGATTGTACGTCAACTCTATAACTTAACTAACTACAAACTGCAACTAACTTAACTACCTACAATCAAGACGTCAAAGCCCATGCAAACCTCTTAGATGACAGAGTGAGAAACAACACTTTTAAACTTCAAACTGCCATATCTCGAAAGTGACTGGATGTGCATTGGATCCTTTCTGTTTAACTACGTCCAATTGTTACTTAATTTTACAATTGAAACAAATATTGTTTGTTTATGATATATTATAACAAATTTACTATTTCTTTTTTTAACCCAATTGTGAGAGTAATTAAACATAGTACGCATGCAACGTAAAAATATGAAATGCCACAGTATCGTCGGGTATAGTGCAAATCCGCATATATAGCAAAATATAGCATTGGTAAACGGCGCGTATCTTCTCTGAATCAAATTTCATAGAATTTAATGTTATAATTCGATTATTTCGATGGTTCCGACTTTATTTTTCATGTTGTCTACGGACTGACAACAACAGATCCCGTGAATCGCACTTATTTCTTTGCCACAACATTTTTGCGGATTTGGCCACGTAGTCAGTATCGGCCGCCTCTTTCTCAGCACTCATCATATCGCTCTGCTGATACAATAGTGTGTTAACTCAAAAAGTGTATTTATTACGAATCGATGAAAAGCGAATTACTCGGTTCCTTTGAAAGGTCATTAAAATTTATGTTTGTCATTTAAGTTTATCACAATTTCCTACTTGTCAAATATATTCCAATTAAATAAAAGGGAAAAAATCGTTCCTTTATTTTTTAATAAGGACTGTTTTGACCAGAACTAGCTCAATTAAGGTTTTTCTCATTGTGAGTTAAGTAGATATCTTTGGGTTGTTTCTTATAATATTCTAACGACAGTTTTATCGACGTGCTGGTAATCAAATTTCACAATAATCTTGAATTTCACAAATTTTGAGTTACAACATTATTGTGGTAGTAGTGCGATATGCTGGTAGACTACATAATAAATCTACCTTCCTGTCAATTTTTATTGAAATCGATTCAGAAATGTAGTTAACAATAATAGCTGCACTCTGTCTGTTGGTGGAAACCGCATGAAAATCCGTTCATTAGTTTTTGACTTTATTACGATCAAACAGACAGGCGTAGTGATGTAGTGATTATACATTACATTATAGATGTGTAACATATGTATATTTTATACATAAAATGTACGATAGTGATTTAGGAAGATTATTGGTATACGATGCGGTGCAGTGCGGCCCGCCATAATGTGCGAGAGCCTTTAGAGTATTTAGGTACTGTTCGGGGTAGTGGTAATTGTTGTTGTTGATCGTCGGAACACGGTTTAAGTCTATAAACTTTATTACTCAAAATAGTTAAAATTATGTTACGTAATGCACCCGATCTACGACTTATTGCAATGCACTAAAGTACAGTCGGTCGGCGGCGCGTACCGCCAAACGCTTCCGTTAAAGGTCTTCGATTACATCGAACTTGTCAATTTATATATACTTTTTATGTATACTTTTCAATTTAGCTCCACCCTCACCGTACCTCCTTCGGTCGATATTCCACCTATTCGCATTAAGTGCTTCCTTCTTTCTGATGCGAACGGCATAGGACTGGAATGCTTAATCTGTATTTACCGAAAAGTACAATTTGGGGCTATTCAAGGCTAGAATGAATAGGCATTTTTTAGGCAAACGTCAACGTCGGTCACATCGTCGCTTAACATCAGGTGAGATTGTGGCCAAACGTGTGTTTATTATATTATATATCGACCCCTCCTACGTAAAGTATCGTATGTCGAAATTGCCAAGTTTACAGGGGAGCGTTTTCAAGTTCTGAATTCACTGAAAGAGTGATTACCATAGATCATTTAATCGATATCTAGGATTTTATAATACTCTATGTGAGTAATGAGCTTTGCCGAATAAAACTGAGAAATGCTAAAATCACGTGTTATGTTCGTTTCAGTGAATTCATAACTTTAAAACGCTTACCTGTAAACTTGGCAATTTCGACATACGATACTTTACGTCGGAGGGGTCGATATATTAAAAAAAAAGTAAAATTTTGCGGGCCTTGGGCAAATCCGCCGGTGCGTAAGCTCATAACCCAATGCCACTTGCGCGTATTGCACTATCCCCGACGACTTGTGAACGAGGAAGTGAGGAGATCTTTGGGCGTGGTTGCAGCGGTCCGTGGGCGGCGCGCTGTCGCGCATCCCCGTGGCGCTGTGCGAGAACCGCCTGGCCAAGTGCGCCTCCTGGAGCGGCGACGGGCCGCTGGCGCCCGTCGTGGCCGACCTCACGCCCGGTGGGTGCTCTCCCTAGTCATATTTCTGCCGTCCACTGACTGAAACGCGGCCGACTGGCAAACGGTCGAATCGACTCCTACGTCGAAGCGTATGTCGAAATTGCCAAGTTTACAGGGGAGCGTTTTAAAGTTCTGAATTCACTCGTTGCTCACATGGAGTGATCGGCTAATAGATCATCTAACCGATATCTCTCTGCTTATTTCAGTGAGTGCAGAACTTTAAAAGGCTCCCCTGTAAACTTGGCAATTTCGACATACGGTACTTTACGTGGGAGGGATCGAAATAACCGTTAAAACTCTCTTTTATAAACATTTGAAATTAGTTAACTTGTTGGGTTTATCGGAACTTCTCCTAACGCGATGCATAGCTGATATATCATTAAACAGTTTCAATGTTCTAAAAGTGGGTGATGGTTTTTTACGATATCTCAAAAAAATATTTTGTCATTTAGCCAACTTTTAGTTATCAGACGGCAGATTTATTTCGTTTTCAAATTTCTTTTGAATTGATATTCGATTATTAGAATAGAATGGAATAGAGAATAGAAGGCAATGTGCCCAAGATACTGGCAGTGTTCCCCCTTTGTATTGCTATGTTAATGCGTTGGGCAAGGTAGCGGCCCTTGGGTTTCCTAGACAGTCCATTAATTGTTTTATCCAGTTTTCACAGTAAATCGTTCGAAAGTACAAAAGATAGATCAGGTTACAACGGATTCTAAATATCACGCAGCACGTTCACAGAGAGCGACGCTGTCTTACGTTTTCACTTTCCAAGCAACGTCAGATGGATAAGATGACAACTACACCAGCGCTCCTTCTCTGTGACCATACCCATTTCGAACTGTCAAACTAACGTGATATTTACACAAAGAAACCATGATCTGGAGTAGTTAATATGATTCGTAGGTAGGTAAATCGTTTATCTAATAATTAGAAAACAACGTGTAATAATAATATGAGCTAAGATTTATACTCTCGTAATTCACGTTACGCAAAGAATACACCGAATTCGGTTACATTACATTTAAAGTGATTACTAGCTCCGACATTATACGAAAACATAAAATATTCAGGATGGCCCGGAAGTGATTGGCCCGAGAGTCAAAACGAAATGAGGGAGATAAGAGTTGAGTATTTCCAATCGATTTGACTACTACATTGGGGTCCGGAAATGTATGGTTCAAAAGTTATTCAACTCTTTGTATTGGTTTGGAAATATCACTTAGTGCACCACACAAAAATATCCACAAAGTGATTTTTTTTGTCTTTTGAAGTCAATTACAAATAGCTCTTTAGTGAACAAAATAATTAGAATTCTTTTAATACATGTTCAATTAGTGTTTCAAATAGTGACGGGACGAACAAGTAGTGCGCCTGATGGTAAGCTACACGCCTGTCCATAACAGTTGCAGTGCCACTCAGAACTTTAAATCGCAAAGATCCGAGGGGCACTGCCACTGCGCCCGTCACTCTGAGACATAAATTGACAAGTACCACGTGCCTGTAATTTCACCAGCACCCTTACCCTTCGAAACCGGAACGCAGTAATGCTGGCATTGCTGCTTGACGGCAGTAATAGGTAAGGTAGCAGTACTTCCCTGGACGAACTCTTTCTCATGGAGCTCTACTGCTATTAAAATATTTTTAAATATATATGTGTTTTATTGTCCATATGATAAATAATTAATAATTCGCATATAGACGCGTGCACATTAGGTAGGCAATACTTGCCTGGTAATCATTATTTTTTTGTTTCGTATCGTTATAGCTTTAAGGCGTCGGCGGCAAAACGCGTCGGACAAATACGCCGTGGATCCTACCCGGGAACTGAACCTGCGCTTCGCACGGCCCAGGCACCGCCAGCCTCCGCAACACCACTCCAGGTCTGTGAAGATTAGAATAACTTGTCCTGTACATATACGGGGTGAATTAATAGTGTTTTAAAATAATTGGGTTGCTCATGATGTTTAATAGACCCGATATTTATAATAAAGAAAGAAATATCAGTAAAATTAACCGTCTGAAGTTCATAATTAGGGTTATTTATTCAAATATAGTTTTTATTCATCTTTACGATTTTTAGATACAACAAAAAGGCGTTCGATAAAAAAATTAAACGTCCAGGACACAAAATAAAGGTACCTGCACATAACACGTATGTACAGGGTCATGAGCACATCAAGCTTGACACTTAAGATTTAAATCCAACTCTATGCCGCTTACGATAAGAACGGTCGAAAGTACAAAGTGTCAAGCTTCATGTACTCTTGACTATTTAATCAATTACCTAAGAAATCTGACCCTCTATCCGAGCTTTTGGTTCTGAAAGCCTTCTCACGCAGTCCACAGAAAAGTGTAAAGGAAATCCAGCTCTTTAGTTGTATTTATGTAGAGTAATTAAAGATCAAATTGGCTTGAAAAAGTTTCTTAAAATGTCATTCACTGAGGCTGCTAACTGTTAATGCGCGAGGTTGTAATCGACTTCATGCAACCAAAACCTCGACTGCATGAAGCTGATAACGACGTCACGCATTAACTTCCTGCAGTCGAAACCGACTTCAGGCTGCCGAGATCGACTGCATGCAGTTAATGCGTGAAGCCGTTATCAAGTTGATTATGTGCAGTCAATCTGTTGGCAGACTTATGGTGCAATAAGGAAGTCATATCAAAATGATTTTCTTCTCAAGTTAAACGTTAAGTTTGTCACACTTTTCTTTATACTTATCTACATAGAATCAAATGGTATGTTTGGGGGGGTCAGTTTTCTTAGGAAATTGACTGTACACACAGTACGTTTGTATGTCTGGATCATAACAAGTAACTTGTAGACATAGGTAGATGTTGATTCTTCCTTCATTCTTCAGATCTTCGTCTAAATATTTCTTTTAGATCTTTTACCCACTTGCCTGTATAATAGATCTCAGACAGAGTGAGCATAGAGGCAACTGAAGTGCTTTAGCCGGAATTAATAGAAAACCAAATAATTGAATATCATGATGGTGAAAAAAACTGTGACATCTCCTGGTAGCTGTAAAGGTCTGAACTGCTGAGTGAACAAAAACTTTCATAGATTTCTCATAGATGGCGCTACGGCTAAAAAGTTGTTAAACACCAAAACAAATTGCAACAAACCCAAGGAAAAGTTGGTCCGTGAGGGCCGTACCGTGGCTTAGTTGGCATCTGACACGGTTTGCTGGAAAATGTTGATTCGAATCCAACCGGATCGAAGTAAATTTTCTCTAAATGTTCGATCCTTGTTTAATAATTATAACAAACTAGTGGAGTAATTTCACAAAAATAATTTAATTACATTACAATTAAAACGTCATCTTTATAGCCAGCTGCTGGTAGCTGTAAAGGTACTTCACTGGGAGATTAAATACTTTTATAGATTTCTCACAGATGGCGTTACGGTAAAACAGTCGTTAGAAACCTACAACAAAGATCTGAGGAAAATTCGTGAGGGCCACTGGTTCGTTCCGTAGCTTAGTTGACATAGCGTCTGGCACGGTTTGCTGGAAGACGTCGTTTCGAAGCCAGCCGGATCGAAGGGATTTTTCGATCTTACATAAGATTCAGTAATAGAACACATAATAAATAATCCCCATTTTTTTAATGTTAATATTTCGCAATAATTTCTAACGCGTGGTTACCTCTAAATAGTAAATAAAATTGAGCGATCGGCGCCGAGTTGTCTAGACGTCGCGCCGCGCGACGACAGACCTGCGCTAACAACAAATACATTATGCGTTAAATACAAATACAAACATGGACTCGCGCGCTGACTCCGCCCACTGCCCACACCGTTCTTGTTGCTACAACTGCTAATCGTCAGGTGTCAATATTGTTCACAATTTTTCGGAAAACTGACAAAAAAACCGAACATGTTTATACAGTCTGCTCCTTTAAAATGGTCAGTGGTTTTTTTATCGCACTTGAATACCACTGCTTTCAAATGCAAATCAACAATATTTAATCTTTGACGCTTGTGAGGAATTTTTGAACCAATTTCAAAAAAGTACTGTATTTTTTGTGTGTATGTTATGCTATAACTCTTCTTTTTTTTTTTTGATTCTTTTTTTGTTGGATCTTAGCAGTGATTCCATTCAAATTTAAATAAAATATTCCACCGCTTAGGGTGACAAATTAGGGGACGTATCCGGTTTATCGGATAAGCAAAGTATTGGGGTCGGTTTATTTTTATTAAAAAGTTTTATTCTCTATCAATGAACGTCCTTTAAGATTATTTAAACAGCAATACATTATATAGCAAATGTGTGTTTTAAATCTTTATTTATTTAGGAACTGTATTGCCAGTTCCATCGTACCTTAAACTATAGCTTACATGTCTGGGTGGCGTTGTTGGAAAGCCGATTCAACAAATAGTAATAGTCTTTTTGCCTGTTTTGTGTGAGGATTGCTTAATATACAATTTATAGTTGTTCGGTTGGTTGGTTGTCCAAAAATGTTCGGTTGATCTGCAGGTCTCTCATCAACGCCCGGCAAGTGTGTAAAAGCTAAATAAATTGTTCAATATTTCATTTCGTAGAACCCTTAAGCTTATATCATTATCAAATAATAAAATAACTACGAATAAAAAATCTATTCCGACGCAATCTATTTGCATTAAATAAAGACATTCATTTAAAAACTAACTTTCAAGTCTAGTTTTGAATAAATCCGTAATTTGTGAGTTTAATCATGTACGTTACTTTTTTATAATAACGGGTGAAATTTTATTAACGGTTGTGTCATGTAGAAACGCTCCTTATTACTTAAATACACATCACAGGGTATAATAATACAAATAGCCTAGTCATAATAATTGGTTTGTACTAAATTACTGAAAAAAGGGCCTGGATAGTTTAAATAGCTATGTAAATATAGAAATATTAATATAGGACACCACCACATACATCGCTCTGATCCCAAAGCACTTGTGTTATGGAGATCGGAGACAACGACGGTACCACACACATCCAGACTAGTGTAGTAAAAAACGTCAACAATTATAAATTCATAGGAAATGAAACTATTTTTCCGTATTTAAATCGCGTGTGTTTGTTTTTTCCAACAAACCAACGTTTCGGGCCTTTTAAACCTTTTGTAAACCTCGTTGGGAGGACCATCGAGTATATAACCAGAAATAGAGACGAAATAAGAGCCATCCATTCCTGGCAACTCATCAGGCAAATGGGTCTTATATCGCTTTTAAATATCAACTCTCGTTTGCGCTGAAATCACAAATTAGAAAGCTGAAATAGTACAGCGCCAACAACTGACCTGTGTGTACATCTCCGTATATTTCAAAAATATCCTGTATTCATTGTAATAAACATAATATCTCTAACAATGGCGTGCTGTTCCATTCGGTGGTGTGGGAAAAACAGCAAAACATCTAATTACAAAACAAACGGAATCACACTACCACGACAGAGCTACTCTGTAGGTAGGTGAGCTCTATACCTACTAGAAAAAAATAATTAAACCTTAATAAAAGCCTTTTGGTTTTCGAGACATTGGCACTTTTTTATTTTTTTGGAATTACTCTACTTTTTGTTGGGTTTTATGCTACAACAATGCCAGGGTTCGCTCCACATGGTTGTTATTTTTGTATTTCGGGGATTCTGAATAATTGTTTCAGGTACTGCAACTAATATTTTACTGAGAAATATCATAAAATATGAAAAAAGTTATTAATTTGGTATACCTCGTACCCTTGTAAAAAGTTAAACATTAACTTTGAATAGCTAGTGTGAAAAAAAATTGTATGACACTGAATTTGCTAATGATCTTAAAAACTGCTCCTCTTAATGCAGAATCAGTAATGGTACGACACTATTGAGATTTTCGACAAGAACTTAGTCTTTTAATTTTTTTCGTCATCAACACCCTAGTAGCTGAATTGGTTTTTAAATAAAATGAAACTGAAACTTTTAAATTAATAAATTGCTAGCATAGCATAGAATAAAGCGCTAGGTGGCGGCACATTAATCTTTTTCACATGCTGTAGTCAAATAAAGTGACTGAGAGAGTTAGCAGGCCTCCATTTTCTTTCTCTCTCTAAACTGGTACAAACAAACGATGACAAGTCAAACTTCCCAATAGCATGCGGATTTAGCTACTAATACCGTGGCAGAGTACCTTTGTGTGTTGCTTGATTTGTAGCCGTTTGTACTTAATGGAAAATACAGCAAGTGCTCAAACTGCCTCCCTCCGACTCAAACACACATACGACATCTTTTGATAAATGAGCTTCTTAGACGCCTCAAACTCATATAAAAAAATTCTCGAGCCGCTTCATGGACTCGTCGTCGCAGTTCGTCTTGTGTATTAATAGCTTTAGGATAAACTTTATCTTTAAAGCACCCCCAATAACAGAAATCGAGGGGATCTTGGTGGCCACAAAATTGGTCCCAATCGGCCAATCCGCCTTCGTGGGAACATCTGGTCGAGGTGCGTTCGGACGTCGTGAGCGTAGTGGGCTGGACAGCCATCATTTTGGAACCACATTCTTCTTAGTAATGCTATTGGCACATCTTCGGGAAGAATCGGCAATTGGTTTTCTAAAAACTCTAAATAATTTTCGCCATTTAGAGTCGGAAGCAGCTCAACTGGACCAATTATTTGACCATTGAAGATTCCGGTCCATAGATTAATTTTAAATTGGTGTTGGGACCGATCTTCTCTTTTCTCGTGCGGGTTCTCCAACTGCCAGCTATGGATGTTGTGCGAGTTTAAATAACCATCTTTGCGACGTGCTGAATCATCACTCTACAAAATCATATTAAAAAAGTTCTGATCTTCACTATGCTTTTGAAGCGTTTGTCGAAAAAACTGTACGCGTTTAGCGTAATCGCTCGGCAGTAAAGTTTGAATTCTCTGAACATGGTACGGGTGGCGTCGGTGCCTTTTTAAAATTCGCTGCGCGCTATACTTTGGACTGCCAGTCCGTCGTTCTATCAAGCGAACTGAAGTGGACGGATCTTCTGACACTTCTTGCAAAACTATTTCGTCTGCTGCGGTACGAGGTCTTCCTCCGCCATGATCGCCAGAGATACTACCTTCTCTGTACGCTGCATCAATTCTCATTACAGTCTCACGTGCCGGTGGTCTACGGTTAGAAAATCTTTCCGCATCCAATCTTGCTGCTAATCTTGCATTTAATGACACGATGCCGCGAGCAGAAACACGTCTAGTTTCGCCGTAAATTAGGTACATGTCAGCGTACTCACTACGACTGAATTCGGGGTTTGCTCTTACCACATTCCGCTGATCTGCCATTTTAATTTTAAAGGGAGTATCCGGTAGCGTCGTCGGTCACACACAAACAACACGGTACAAATAGTAAGCAAATCAGGGTCCAAAGTAATGCCAAGTTGGTGATAATGATCACTTAAAATACTATTCCGATCGTTAGCAAGTCAAAGTGATGCCAAGTCGAAAGTTTAGAAGCAGAAGCAGTGATAAAACGTAAAACGCATGCGTAACACAAAACACAAAGGTATGTACTGGTACTAACGAGCCAAGCCCAACCCGACTGCGTAAGAAAGAGATAGCAAATAAGGGCCACACCTCTCGCTCATTTTTTACTATCTGGGGTCCTAGCGACAGAGCAGTTTGTCATAAAACTCAATAATTTAACACAAATTTGTTTAGAAACCAAATCTTATAACTTTTTCATACGAGTATTTTATGATATTTCTCAGTAAAATATTAGTTGCAGTACCTGGAACAACTATTCAGAATCCTCGAAATACAAAAATAACAACCATCTGGAGCGAACCCTGGCAATAGTAGCATAAAACCCAACAAAAAGTAGAGTAATTCCAAAAAATATAGTATTATAGAGTATAGTATAATAGTAGTATAAAGCTCACCTACCTACACGTTTTGGAACACCCTCTATTAAATACGTAATTTTTCAATTTACGTCCATTATAGCAAAGCTTAAGTTAAACTGGTCGATTTGAAGTGAAACAATTGACGAATCCCGTCAATTGTTTCGAATTCGGGCTGGCCAATCGGCGCAGTTGTCATCGTAATGATTTTTCAGAATAATTTTCAAACAAATCAAATGACATTTCGTCTCTATTTCTGGTTATGTACTCGATAGGGAGGACGCTTCCACGTTCGAACGTAATATCTTACAACCAAATGTAGATCTAAAAAGTGTCAGATAGTCATTGACTTACAATTATATGGACGTCGGGTCCGCGCTAAAAAGTGTCCGCACTTGTAAGGCGCTAAAATCGTATACAGAGCGCGACACTCCGCTTTAGTCTTCATTTGTTCTACGGACAGCGCGATACTGCGATGACATAACAATTTAAATTTCGAATAGGTTGACTTGGGACATTTTTTTCGTGGTTTTTGTATTAGACCCGTCGTCGTCCATTTATTTGTAAGTCAATGCAGATAGTACAACAAAAACTTAGAAGTTTTTTTTTGGTAAATTTATTATGTTTTGTAAAAAGTCCTGGAACAATAATTGTTGTGTATGATGAGTATCACAAATCACCTATCACAAACTCGAATTTTTTTTTCCGAAATAACGTTTGTTCGAATTTTCATTACACCGAAAACCGAATTATAACGAGACCGTTGTACTTTCAGGATATGTTGGATGTTTATCGCAAAGACACGATTAGGTGAAGTTAGGTTTAAAGGAAAAAACTTTTTTCCTCTCAAAATTACTTTCGAGGTTATGAAAACTCGAGCAAACGAGAACCTTTATGATGTTAGTAATATAGTCCTGCGAGGTTGTTAGCATTTTACAAATAACCCTTTGTAGGAATCGTAAGCTAACCGCGTGAAGGGGAAGACAGGGTCAGCGTTGTCAGTTGAACTAGTGTTTCTACTAATTATCTGTCCAATTTTTTATTCGGGAACACTGTCAAAGTCCATTAATCTTTATTTCATAGATAAGCAAGTTACATTTGAAATCGTCATACTGATGGAAGTCTACATCTCATTCGTAACACAGATTCCCCTGAGAAGAATGAGCAAGAAACTCTAGGGATTGCACTTTATAATTTTGAATACAAATACCAATACAATATTTAATTTAAATATCTTAGATTAAGACTACCTGCAAGAGCTAAACGGGACACTGCCACGGATTTTTGTCATCCAAGTACGCGAAGCTGTTTAACCTTTAGTATAAAGTTTTTGTTTCGCAACAGTTTAAAACCTCGTGAATGGCAGGTTTTGAATATTAATCGGAATCTTATTAAAGAAGCGTTTGTGACTATAGCAACATGGAATCTCGAAAGGTACTCTCTATACGAGACCGGCAGTACGTCGCGCCCTTTCACGCTTGTCCTACAGAGGAGAGGATATATTATTCTTACGCAACTATGCAAGAGCGTCAACCAAAAACTAGTTTTATTCGAAAGGGACACAAATACACAACACTGTACACGGCATCTGTGAGCTAACAAACGTACGGTATGAAAAGTCGCCTGCCATCGCCTGTCTGAAAGGCCTTTGCCGTGCAGGAGCGGGTCGCGCGGGGTGCCGGCGCTGCTGATGTCGTCGCCGCCGCTGTCGGGCGCGTCTGGCGGGTCGTCGTCGTCGGGCTCCCCGCCCCCCGCGCCGCCCGCGCCGCCCGAGCCCTCCTCGGCGAGCCACAACGCCGCGCGCGCACGCCGCTTCCGCCCCTTGAGCATAGCTCCATAGGTGAGTAGTAGGAACGCTTAGTTTGCGGCGGCACGTGTGCCAACAGTACGCGGAGTGCCGCATACTTGAGCTCAGGCCGCCGTTTTCGCTTTGTACGTTTTGGTCGTGTCAATTACCTCGCGGAAAACCTCGAAAATGGTTATTTTATTAATGACACCAAGTGACGGAACGAACAAGTCTTGCCCCTGGGGGTAAGCGACACGCCTGGCCATAGCAATTGCAAGTGCCACTCCGAGCTTTTTAATCGCAAAGGTGCCCTTCACCCTGAGACATGAGTTGACAAATCTAAAATGCCTGTAATATCGCCCGCACTCTTATCCTTCAAACCGAAACGTAGTAATGCTCTCATCGCTGCTTTGCGGAAAAAAGTTTTTTTTAATATAATATCAAGTGAAGGGACGAACAAGTCGTGCGCCTGATGATAAGCTATGCGCCTGTCCATAGCACTTGCAGTGCCACTCAGAGTTTTAAGTCGCAAAGATCTGAGGGGCACTGCCACTATGCCCGGTCTCATGTACCTGTAATTTCACCAGCACCCTTACCCTTCAAGACCGGAACACAGTAATACTGACATTACTGTTTGGCGGCAGAAATAGGTAAGGTGGCAGTACTTCCCTGGACGAACTCTTTGACTAAAAACGCCTTACTTTGCTAATTTGGAGTGAAAATGATAGTCTCACTTATCTATCTATTTAGGCTTATTTTATTTTAATAAATTTGCCCTTTTCTGTTTATCGTAATGGATTTTTTGTTATAAGAAACTTAAAGTAAATCTTAAACAACCGCAATATGATCGACTTTTTTTGGAGAACGTTAATAAGCGTTAATCGTTCGTCGTGTTTCAGCTATTGACCGCTAGATGGCAGCACATTGAATAAAGTTTTAATATGAAATCAAAACTTGCAAGAAATGTGCCTACTTCAAAATTATATTAACTGTCCAGATTTCGTTAGATTATCAAGATTTCATAGTGTTTAAAATTATGATAGTGTGTTTTGACAACAGCTGTTCTGATAGTAATCAAGGCTTAATCTTCAATATTTTTTGTGTTTTGTTCCAGGAGCAGGAGCAGGAGGACTGGGAGGTGAATAAGAACACAAGGAACACATTCTAAAGTATAAAACAAACGTATGTAAATAACATACATAATATACTTACGCCTTATGTACGTTACATAATTTATATAAGAACGTCAGCACGTGCCGCTGCTGGTCACGGAACACTTAGTCTTATGTAAATTATTTTACCCAAAAAGTTTTAGTCAATAGTACTGCTTTTTTTTCTAATTTTTCTTTATATTTTTTCTATTTCTGAAACTTCAGTTCCACTGCTGGACACGGATGTTCTTTTTGTTCACTTTTATGTATTCTTTATCTAGAGTGTACATTTTTCGTAAATCTGTAAAAATGACACTAAATCTGTCGTAAGAACAAAAAACAGTATTTTGACTAAAATAAATTAATAAATAACCATTGTGATTCTTAATGGGGAACCTCATAAAGCTATTTCAAACCTTATTTCTTGTTAATAAGGACGATAATAGCGTATCGTTTGTTAATAACACGGATCTAAAAGTTTACTAGAAGCGGTAATAGCTTTACTAAGCAATTACTGTCAATTGCGTGTATAATCTGTGTCAAACGGATGGCGTCTATAGTTTCTGCCTACACCAATGGGAGGCAGATGTGATAATACGTGTTTAAAAAAGATTTTTTTTGCAAAACCTAATTACAGAAACAGCAGTTGTTCTATGGTTAGGTAGTACCTACGTCCGGTACATTTATTGCTTTAAAAATAATATTATCAATTTGATTTTTCAAGCCTTTCGGATGGACTTTGTTCTTTAGGGAAGAGCTATAATCCTTCTAGTAATTTAAGATCCGTGTAAAATATCATATTTTGTACCTTATGCCATGGGTTTAAGGTCTATGTTTAATATGAATAAGATCTCCGTAGATAGAACTTGCCATGAAAGCTTATAAGTACGCCGCGGAGTGATCGGAATAGAGCGTAGTTTGGTCATATCTTGTCAATGTGCCATACAGTTGCATAACGAAAGATAGCCTGGTTTTTTTTTTTAACGATATCAAGTGACGGAACGAACGAGCGATACGTCTGTCAATAGCAGTTGCAGAGCCACTCAGAGCTTTTAATCGCAAAGATCTAAGAAGCATGCATGCATGTAATTTCATCAACACCCTATCAAACTTCCGGAAGCAGATATAGATGAATTGGCAATAGTTTTACAAAGAGCTCTACTGCTGCTGGTAGCAATAATATTTCAGTTTTTCTAGCTCAGTGTTGCCAATTAAACCCCTAATTAGTAGAAACAGTGGTTAAAACATTTAATTTGTATGAAAACTATTCTGCCAAATCATTACGGTGACAACTGCGCTCCGATTGGCCATTGCTGTAATGGATTTAAATTGAAAAATTACATAATTGAATTACCGATGAAATGTGATTCCGTTTGTTTTGCAATTAGATGTTTTGTGCTGTTTTTCCCACACCACCGAATGGAACAGACCTCCATTGTTAGACATTTTATCTTTATTACTTAATTAAAAATAATTTTGGCATATACGGGACGTACACACAGGTCAGTTGTTGGCGCTGTACTATTTTAGTTTTCTAATTTGTGATTTCAGCGCAAATGAAAATTGATATTTAAAAGTGATATAAGGCCCATATGCCTCGTGATTTGCCAGGGATGGATAGCCCTTATTTCGTCGCTATTTCTAGTTATATATATGTAGGTTATGTATATATACAGGTGCCTAACTGGGTGACGAAATACTTCCATGGATTTCTCATAGATGGCGCTACGGAAGTCGTTAAAAACCAGATACAAAGATCCGATAAGAAGAATTCGTGAGGTCCGCTGGTTCGTCTCTTGGCTTAGTTGGCATAGCGTCTCGCACGGTTTGCTAGAACACGTTAGTTCGAATCCGGCCGGATCGAAGAAATTTTTTTTAAGTGTTCGGTCTTTGTATTAATAATTAATTATAACAAGTGCATTTTTTACATTTAGCTTCATTTCCTATTTGCAGCAGCAACAACTGTTTATTATCCAAATTGTTCTTTCCAGGAATCTAACTCATACCGCTGATTCAACAGAGTATGATTTTGAGGTCATCAATGTTTAATTATTCAATTAAAAACTTGTATATGGCCAGACTATGTTCCGTCTATAATATATACAAAAAAGGTCGCTGTAGAAATAATGAAGTGTAATAAGCAACCAAAAAAACTGTCAATTTGTACACTATACACTACAGGAGACGAGGCTCCTGTAGGATTTAATTCTATAGTCGGAGTATGGGCCTTCCCGCTGGCGTAATCCGGGTTGGAGACTTTGTTCTAAAAGAGCTAGTTCAATTCTGATGCGTGTGGTATCGAGAAGATACTCGAACTGGGTGCCATGAAATTACAAAACAGATTTTTGTTGCTTATACAACACTTTCTTCTCATGTTTGATCCCTTTGGTTTATCTGGATGGACTCTTAGCAATTTGTTTTTGGATTGTACATATTATCACTTATTATTTTTGGGTTGTACCTTCTACCCACTACCACTTATTATTTTTGGTTTGTACTCACAGTCTTTTTTTATCTTATCTTATTTACTGTCACTTATCATTTTTGGGTTGTACCTTCTACCCATTATCACTTATTATTTTAAGGTTGTACCCACTATACACAGCCAACACGTTGCGGAAACAATGCTCTTCACGCACACAAGCTGTATTACGACTGCAGAAAGTCAGAACAGACTGGATCGTGGACTACGTGCATAAGGATACCGAGAACAAACCCAAATTTTTGGGCTGTAGTTTACCCAGTTGAACCAAAGGGATGAACCATAAGATGGAAGCGGGTCTGCAATTTCTACTACACCATGTCAATACACGGTGTTTTGTAAATACATGATGAATGGGGTCAGGACAAATTAGTTTTAAAAACTTCGCAAGCTCACTTTTAATTTATTTTAAAAATATTTCGCTTTTTGTAATTTAGGTATGCTTTTTTAAAATATAGATACTTAGTGTGGTCGCTTGGAATTGGTCATTTAGTATGAGGTGATGTCAAAAATGTAGACAGGTCAAAATTTATAGTATGACATGAAGTCAAAATAAATTATTTTACGTGCTGTATAATAAAAAAAAAATAATATTAAAACTGATAGGGTATATTATTCAGTTACATACTATGCAGTATGAGCTTTGCTAATTCTGCCATAGTCCATACTGTTAAGGACTCACTAAAAATTACCAAACTACATGATAAAATTGTCTAGAACAACAACACGTAAGGCACAAATTTTAAAAAAAGTAATAAAGTTCTCGCATTAGAGACATTGTTAATGGCCTTTGACAATGTTAATGTCAATATTTTTGACGTTTGATCATACTAACTACCAAAAACATGCCAAGTAGCTTGAGAGCTACAAAATTCATATCAATTTTGTAAAAAACAATGTTAAAAGAAAATCAGCGATTCATTAGTGTCTATATTCGTCTTGGTGCTTCATTAAAGTTACTCTTACTACTTAAAAAAAACTGTTTCGGAATTAATATGCAAAAGACAAATGTTAAAGAGATCTCTCGAGGTTTTGGTTTTACTGAATCACGCCTAAAGTTGTAGACTTGTAGTTGTTTTGTGTTTGCAAAGGCTTTATAAGATGCAGTTGTATCTATTCATTCAACTATGACAGGATATAAAAATAGTGCTGTTCAGTTTGGTCTAATTTATTATAGTGTGATTTGTTTTTACTTGGGTCAGCATGAGGAAATCCGAAACCATACAAGATACAGAAAAACTAAAGAACTGTTTCGTTGTTCGTTTTGTGGAAACAAATTTGACATAGTCAATTTTTTGGTCAAACGTGAGTATATAAAAAAGGAATTTACAACAATTTTTTTTATGCTGATCGACTCAGTTTCTTGCAAGAATCATTTCATTGCATCTGAAGAAATAATCTGGACAGCAGATCCATTCATATAAGAAGAAAATGCTATGTACTAAATTAATCATAGTCTAAGTGCCAATGTTTTGGGCTCTTTACAATTATGTCTAATTCACTGATTGATGACTTTACCGGTCTCAGTCACCCACGATCATGGGAGCTGTAACACCGGTAGTTTGTTTGAAAAAACAAATATACGCGACTTAAATACTTAAAAAAATAGTTCAACTTCCTATGTGTAACAATTGCGAGAACCTTACAGTTCGGTAAAACCAAAACTTAATTACTCTGTGCATAATTATATATGTATACAAATTAAAATAATTACGAAACACTAGAAACTAATGCGTTAGCTAAAATAGGGAGCGGAAGCAGTGCTAAACTATATAATATTATGTATGCATTTGACAGATGCTAGAGATAGATTTTGACAGTCGCATGATGGTCTGTCAAAATTGACAAGATTTGTTTGATTTCTCGTTGTGCTGTAACATAACCCAATAATTGTTTCGCACAATATAATAAATTGCAATTTCATCATACTAAAAGTATTTAGATTTGACAAGTATGAGCTGACGTCAGAGTGGTCGATTTTGACAGATCCCGAGCGTCATAAGACTTAACTATTAATATGTACAAAATAAAATAATATAAAAAAAATGTTGGACATTTTTGGCAAAAATCACTTTGACAGCGATATTGAACATGTGAATAATTTGTTGTAAAAATGTTATTGACGATTAAGGACTGCTAAGTGGAGCTGTCATTTAGTTAGCCATTTTAAACTGTTTTCGGGCCTTATAGGCTAATGCATCATTGCAAAATATTGACCTCAAAATACGCCCGACTTACGGCGCCTTCAAAATTAGACGCTTATAGAAGCACTGCAGTGGCACTTCTGTAAGCGCTGTAGTGGCACTTCTATAAGCGCTGCAGTCGCGCTTATATAAGTGCTAACACCACTACTATGTTTATAAGCGCAGTTGCAGCGCCACGGTCGTGATACACGCGTGCCATTTTTGCAGTCAATTAATGCTGATTTTTCAATCGGCAGTTAAACAACCAGATAGGTTTATTCAATGCATAGTGAGAGCTTGAATTTTTCAACAGTCAGATAGTAGTTAACTGTGAAATAAAGCCTTTAACGGAGGGTTATATTTATCTGTCGCTTCAAGGGTTACTTTTGTAATTTTTTGGTTATGTTTTGTGGTATTATTTTGTGTTTTTGAGTTTCAGAATAATTGTGAAATACCACGAAAGTAAAATACCTTCCTTCGATTTGTGGACTGTATATGAATAAAAAATGTAAGCTGGGAACTCGCTCTGGGCCTTTTGGAGGGAAAAGAGTCGTTTTTATTTTGACTTTCAATTATTTTGTGAAATCTAGTTTAAAGTGTAATAGGATAGTGCTATTGTGCCTTAATCGACGATTACAACGCGAAATTATACGAATCTCGAACTAAAATACCCGTATCGGCCCGTTCTAAGGAATCCCGAGTCAATCCAAGCACGCCGCCTCAAATTGCCTATCCTCTTTGTGGCGGCCATATTTACAGAAACATAATTAAACGAAGACATTGCTCAAAGGACTTGTAACCAAGCCAAAATTATTAATTAAAAAAAGGTAAGCTGGGAGCACAATACCTCTTGAAACCAACCTCCTTGCCTCGCCTAGGAAGCGAGTCTTAATGTTACAAGTTCACCAAAACGTATTGTTTTTTTATTATTTTTTGCAATAAATAGCGAAGGCGGTTGCCTATGCGGCCATTTTTGACATGATAGTATAAACGGAATGTAATCCTATAATATATCCGATAGTCAACTAAAAATTACATTGCGACATGCATTAAGCCTTAAGCGTCTAACTTAAAGGTCACTGTATTCACGACATCGTCTCAGATTAATATTGTACAGATGATAGCTCCACTCGGCGATGTATATGCAGCTTTGGTATAATAATAAAAGAAGTAATATTTTAATATGATATAGTAATTTTTAAAACTTACAATTGTAAGGTTTTGACAGAAATTTGACTGTATGTACTATGTATGAAGAAATGTTATGAAGATTCTGATTTTTTTTCTTCTATTTTGATTTGGATAATGTTATAAAGGAATTGTACTTGAAGTACATAAACATAGTTAACCGGGAGCTTATACCATGACATACGCCGAAATATTTTGACAGATGTGAAAAATAATATGACAAAGTATAATTGTTTTCAAACTGTCAATTTGTGAAGGCGGTTAAAATATACATTTGCGATCGATGTAAACCCAAAATAGAAGAAAAACAGTTTTTCGGAAATGTAATTTTGTGTAAAAAGAAGCGTATTTTTGAGAATCGTTAAGTGTTATCGAATGATGGGGGAATTTAGACATTTGGTCGGAGGATTTTGTTTTCGAAATTTCGCGTTTAGATGTTGCACCTTTCATGTCTTCTTAATATTACAGTACTTTTGGGAATCTTGGGAATCTCAATAACGGAGCAGGCAG